AGCGCAGTTTCTTCATCCTGTTGGGACATATGATATGCCTCCTTACCATTGGTACGCCCCTGGTGCATCCTCTTATACTTCGTGACATTGATTCTCAGCAGCCATTTCTTCGACCATTCTTGTAACCCACAGAGGTCCTTCTGCAGCTCTTCACAGTCCGCTTAGTTCTTGATTTCCCGAAATAACTTGCTGTCATCGGCAAACATTTGTATGGAGGAGTGTACAACGTCAGGCATGCCATTTATGAAACAAACAAACAACAGCGGGCCCAATGCACTGCCCTGTGGTACCACGCTTGTGACAAGTACGGATGATGATTTTGTGCCATTAATCACCACACACTGCTTGCGGTCATGTAAAAAGTCTTCTATCTACGCTTGGACATATCCCCGAATTCCGTACCCTTCCAGTTTGATTTTCAGCCTTTCGTGGGGTACACTGTCAAAAGCTTTGGTAAAATCTAAGTAAATATTGTCGATATTACTACCCTGTTCCAGAATATGGATCCAAATATCCAGTACCTTGAGCAATTATGTTAAGCAGGAGCTCTCCGGCATAAAACCGTGTTGGCAATCCTTTACAAGGTTTTTGTGTAGTAGATGTTCCATTGCGGCATCTCTGATAATACTCTCAAGTACTTTACATATTATGCTGGTCAGGCTCACCGGTCTATAGTTGTTCGTGGAGTGACGATTGCCCTTTTTGAAGGTAGGACTCACATAAGCCACTTTCCATTCACTGGGGACCTTTCGTTCATCCAGGCATTTACAAAACAGGATCTTCAGGGGCTTGGCAAGCTCGTTGCACAACTCTCTTGGCACTCTAGGATGCACCATGTCAGGGCTGGGACTCTTATGGACCTTTAGCTTTGACAGTTTATTTCTAATACCCTCTTCTGTAAACACAATGTGGGTCAGTGCTGTGTTGAACCGTCTGTCCTCAAACGCAGGAAGGTTAATCGTATCCTCTCTTGTGAACACTGTGAAAAAGAAGCTGGTCAATGCCTCGGCTTTATCCTGGTCATAATCTGCGTAACTACCATCTTCAAGCCTCAGGTCTGATACTCCTACTCGCGTTTTTAATTTTGACTTTGCATAGCGGTAAAACTCCTTTGGGTTTGACTTGACCTTGCTTGTATCCAGCGTCTGGAACTCCTTTTCAGCCCTTTTACATTCTATCTTTGCTTGGTTTCTGGCTCTTGCATATGTCCTCCTGTCCTGCTCATCATTTGACCCACCTCACGTCTTGAATTTCTGGGTTTTCTTCTTAACTTTGTCGACCGCCACATGGTTCATGTGTAGGGATCCCTCGTATTCCTAGAGGCACTGGGTTTGGTCTTGGGTATATATTTATCGATCAAATGGGTCACTGTACTAGTTATGATATCGAGCATAGTGTCTGCATTCTTGTGCCTTAATGAGTCAGGCCAGTGGATACCCCTCATCTCTTCCCTCATCCCATTGTAATTTCCCTTGTAATATTTGTACCTTGACCTGGCCTTATCCTGAACTAGGTAACAGTTAAATCTGAATGACAACACTATATGGTGACTGGTGCCAACTGGGGCAAGGTGTTCCAGTTTGGCCACCATACCCTCCTCGTTTGTTATGATGTGGTCTACTGGCCTGGGTGTTTGCTCCCCTCTATAATGTGTCGGGTCTCTAACATGTTGGAACAGAAAATTATCTCAGAGTTTCTACAAAAAGAGTAGCAGGGCTATTCAAGTCATTTGGGGTGAACTCGTTTCTACAGTCGATATTGCCATAGTTAAAGTCCCCCATGATAAGGAGGTGGCTAGGGTTGAGCATCGCCACATTGTCTATTAAGGCTCTTAAGTTCCTTTGATTTAGTGGGCCACAGTTTGGGGATCTGTAGATACACCCGACGATAAGTAAGTCTCCTCCCTTTAATATAATTTTACACCACTTGGACTCTTCAAAAACATCCTCTCCCTGTACCCTCGCCTGGCTGGCTCTAAGGTCTTGCCTAGCATAGATAACCACACCCCTCTTGCAAGTTTCTTGAGAAAGGTTCATAAATGAGTCATATCCACCAATACTGAACTCACATTCCTCTGGGTCAATTCTCCTGTTCTTGTACAACAGTTCTACAACTCCTACAGTATCTGGTTGGTGTACTTTCAGTAGTGTTTCAAACTCTTTTCTCTTATAAAAGAATGTGTCTGTATTAGTGTACTGTACATGACATTCAAGCTAGAATTTGTTCTCGGTAATGTCTCTGCTCTTAGTAGTAACCCCCATTTTCAGAAGCTGCAGCATTTGCTAAGTACACTGTATTTTGCAGGGTGTGGTTAAAAATGTCATTGTTCACAAGGTGCTTTCCTCCTCCCGGCTGATAGACGGAGCTGGTGCCACCTCCCGGGCGGGGGTTAGAGCGGGTGGAGGGTGCACTCCTGTCCCCTGGCCCTGTGTCGGCACTGGAGCACGTTTAGATACATTCAGGAACCTGTGCATGCGCAGTACTTGCCAACAGTGCATAACAGAGATATGACCGACCGCCCAGGCAGCTAATGAGCCGATTAGTGGTGAAGAGGATAAAAGTAAACGTAGAATAAGTATATTCGTCCATATAAATGTTTGATGAAGTACAATTGAGTTACTTTCGAGTACTGTATGATCAGCATTATCACTTACTAGTGTTATCACCAAATTTATTAATCAACATACATAATAGGGTTGACCTTAAGCATTAAAATCTGATGAAAATAATTAATTTTATATAATTAATCTTGAAAATCTAGGGATGGCCAATGTTAACTGTCAGTCATGATGGTGACTTGCTCAGAACATTAGCAGCGTACTTTCAGTGGCTAAATAAATACTGCAGACGGCACTTATCAGCTCCAGAACAATTAATCACGCCTTCAATGAAGGCTTTATTTCTAACTAACACCTTCTGGTGATGCACGCTGAGTATGCACAATTTAGAGAAGCGTTCAGTTAACATTGTTGATCAAAGCCATGTCTTGACACAACTCTGTCTAAATGACCTCTGTACTGTACTTCACAAGTGGAGGCTGGAAGTGTTAAGGAGATAAGTAGGACTTCTCGAATAGCAGGAAACAAATCACACTGCTTCAGAAGATCCATCAAAGATAGGGTTGCACTGGAACCAGATGCAGTTTTCTGTCTGGAAATGTTGACACTTCATATTTCAAACCAGGACTGCGAATAACAACAAAATTATTGATGTTGTAGATATCGTTTAACTGTACCATTTTTTCTTGTTTGGGATACAGTGCAGTACAGTACAGTACAGTACAGTACAGTACAGTACAGTACAGTACATGAATTCATTGTAGCAGATTTTTTAAGTACGATTATAACTTAGCAATTTCCATGGCAATGGGCATAAATAATAATAATCATAAATTGTCACCAACGATACCAAGCTCAGAGCATTCCACTATATTTATTTTGCTCTTATTTTCATTTATAGATAATAATATTAGTAGTGTTTATAATTACAGGTATATTTAATTGTACTCAACAAATTGTGCAATTACCCACATGTCATACTACAGTACTGTACTTATCAAAAATTGAAAAAACACAGTTAAGTTACATTACAATTGCAAAGTATATCTGAAAAATGTTAGGAGCATCAATTTCTTGTAACATTATGCTGTGCTGTGTTTATTGAATCCATGTCAATAAGTGTACAGTGCTGTACATATTTAGCAACTGCTCAAAAGTAAAAAAATCTGAATGGAACACAATTGGAGCATTGAGATTTCTGAAAATTTCTTTGGATAGTAATGTTGAAGTTTACTCGAGCGTTGACAATGATGGTCTCAAGTTCAGGGGAAAAAGAATAATTTTCTCAGAGTCCGAGTCTGTTCATCAAAGTTATTAATTCAGCACTTCTAAATAAATGCCTCAGTGTCATGTAAACTGTGTGTAGTTTATTTATCCTCTACAGGTACTCCTCGACTTACAATCTACTCGACTTGCGACCACCCGGACATACGACCACCGCAGTCGTATAAAATATTTTTCAAATTACGTACTTTCTAGTACTGACATTAGTGATTGCGCTGTGTACTGAATTTATTTTTTTTTATTCCCTTTAAAATGGCTGGCAAGCGTAAAAGTGGGAGTTCTCGTGGTGTTGAGAAGAATAAGAGACACCCAATTTAGAATTTCTATGTATTATTTTCGCATTTTCGACTTATGACCTGGTTGTCGGTCCCTAACCCCGTCGTAAGTCGAGGACTGACTGTACAGGGCTAATATAAGTATTTGGTTAAATTTTCAAGTGTCATCAAGCGGTTTAGATTTCCTTTAGAACAGACACGCTTACAGAGCTTCAGTAAGACCCCCAACAGCGGTATAGGCGAAAGAGGTGGCCAACATGGGAATCCAATGACTACACTTGCGGATGAAGGCAGTGCAAGATGGACAGGCTACTAAAGCGAAACCCGATAAACTGGGCTATCGGCAGTCCATTGCTACTCTCTCCCAGTCGTTGCAACTACTTGCATCACTGGATTAAGAAAAGGAAGAGCCAGGATGTGTGGTAGCAGTCTGCACTCCTGCCTCACCACATAAATCAGCTCACTCACAGCCATCATCCAGCTCATGATACTGCTCATCATCAGTGTTCCGGCTCCCAGACGAGGTCGACTCACAGAATGGGGCTCCGGCTATACCATCTTCTGGAAGGGTAAGACTGCTGTGGAGAGGAACTACATTTACAGAGTTGGCTTTGCCATTCGCCAGTCCATCTCACGTAGGCGAACTGAAATGCCTGTTGGGATCAACGAAAGCCACATGACACTCCGAATCCGCCTCATGACACTCTGAATCCCAGTGAATCAATCACGTTCTGCCTTCTTCATCAGGGCATACGCCCCAACACTGGAAGCAGAGGATGACATCAAGGAGGCCTTTATGCTGACCTTTACAGAGTGCTAACCTCTATCCCCAGAGAAGATAAGGTTGTGCTCCTTGGTGACTTCAATACCAGAGTTGGCAGAGATGCTGACATTTGGCAGGTAACCATAGGAAGAAACGGAGTAGGCAAGTGTAATCCCAACGGCCTACTCCTCCTCAGCAAGTGTGCTGCACACAACCTCACTGTAACCAATACCTTGTTTAGGCAGGCCAACAAGTTCAAGGGTTCTTGGCAGCACCCACACTGCAAACATTAGCATCTCATTAACTACATAATTTTCAGAGAAAGAGATCGCCGAGATGTCCTCATCACCCGTGCGATGCGTGGCTCAGACCACTGTGACACTGATCATCAGCTCATCAGAGCCAAGCTCTCACTTCACATTGCCCCAAAGCGATAGAGGTAACAAGCCTCCAGAAGAGGCTTTAACACCAAGCTACTGCATACCGAGGCAGACAAGCGCCAGCGCTGGAAAGACGCTGTCGCCACCCCTCCCGCACTAGATGTAGCCCCCCACATGTGCAACTTCAGTGATCGACAATGCCAGTCCCATATTGGCCTCTTTAGTTACCTCAAAACTCACTAACTTAGGTGACATCCTTAATAACTCATATCATTGTATCATGGCTGGATGATCGTCATACTCGATTCCGAGTGACAGCAAAGTAGTAGTAGTAGTGTGTGTGGTACTGTAGTGACTTAGGTGTGTTTTTCACCCTCTAGAGATGGCAGCAGTGAGCGATGGTCACAACAGATAGATGGCTCCCAGGACTTGTCATCACAGATCTATGGCTCCCAAGACTCGCAGAGACTTACAGTACCACCCTGCCGACCCCCACCACCCTTGGTAAGTGCTAACACGTATGGTGTAATTGTCAACATGCTTGCCTCAGAAGCGAGAGGTGCTGAATGAAACTATGAGTAAGTTTCTTTGCCATTGTCTCTGTCTGCCCAGTAGTAGTTGGGAACTTGAATGTTAATTGATTTGTGGATCAGTGTTCCAGCTTAATGGTTAGCCAGAGTAGTTGGGAAGTCTTCTGGGTCATACAGCTTCTTAACTTAAGGTGTGGTTGTTGTGTTGGTGAGAGCTTCTATACCTTAAACAAACTCATGATTAGGTGGCCCTAGGGCCAGCCAGCCTTGAACACAAGGGAAAACCATTAAACAGATACATGGATACATAACAGCTAAGGGTTGTATACATAGACATACCAAAGGGGGGGAGGCGATCCCCATTTTTAACAACAAGAAAAGAAAAAAATAGTAATGATAATGAAATACCAGTAAATAAAAATACACATAATATCGTCAGTTTTTGTACAGTAAACTCATCACGAACATATAGAAAAATATTAATTATCTCGTATTTCAACACTACTGTACCTCAATATTGGAGAACATAATAAGTATAGTATGTAGTTAGGGAGAAGGAATAACAGTGAATGTAGAGAGAGTCTGTGTTACTCTTGATACTGACCAACAACATGGACAAAATTTATTATGATTTTTTTAGAAATTATTCATATATGTGAAATATTTTATCCTTATGTGACCATTGTTTTGTGCTAATGAGACTTATACGTGTGTGAGTGTGTGTGAAATATATATCGGGTAGTAGGTAGTAGGCAGCTATCAAACAGGGAGGTGCTACCGCCTGGGGAAGATATTGGAAGCATAATGTGTTGTCTAATGGTAGACCCTGCTGCCACATGGCATTACAAAAATTGTGACTAAGTCCCAGGTTGCTGATCTGACTTTCTGCCTCATTTACACACAATTGCAGGGTCTCAATTGATTCTCTTACTTTTACAACACAACATGTATATCGTTTCTCACTCTTGATCATCTTATTTTTTACATTTCTGTATTTATTTTTTGTTCTATTTATTTATTTGTTATTTTTACCCCGGAGCCCTGATGTGGGTCGGTGACCTGTGCCTGAGTGGAACAATCCCTGTAAAAAAAATATAGCTGTACAGTAAATATTTTGTCCTTGGTGGGCATGTGCGGGAAATATTGACGAATAGTTTGTCATTTTAGTGCTTGTTTGTGTGAAATGTTGACCAATCTTTTATCCTTATAATGCTTATGTGTGGGAAGTTTTGAATACTATTTCATTCACACGCATCTTGTGTGTTTGAAATACTGTACAGGTACAGTAAAACCTTGCCAACTCGGACCCCGTGATTCTCGAACAGGAAGTCACCCTCAGACACCTTTTCATCCTTCTAGGGCAATATTAGAAATGGACAGGTGAGCTCAGACAACTGCAAGTCTTCCCAATGTTTTTCACACTAAAAGCAATGATTATAGGTATACGCTCCAGTACCACAAGTTCATAAGACAAATGACCTGAGAGGAATAGAATAAAGTAATAAATTCTTAAGATACGACTTTTTCTCACTACACCACTAATTTCATCATATCAAAACTTTTAATGAATTATATGTTTACTATACACAATGTATTGTTGTCCATCCATAATGTATTGAGAGAGTAAAAGAGTCAGAACACGTCATATGACCGCTGTGTCCATGTAATTAGCTACTGAATATTCCCATCTATTTTGTATGAAAATTGGCCAGTGAGTTGTATCTATGTATTGTTCCCAATACTGTATTAAAATCTCTCGAGGTACTTGACTTAGATTCTCCCTTCCATCTCAGACTATTGCCCTTAGATTCTCAAATTTAGGTTGGACTTGGACTCATCCTCCTGTCTCAGACTTAATTACCCTCAGATCTCAGACCTAGGTAGGAATCCAGCCTACTCAGAATATGGACCCTCTTGGACTGCCCTTTCCCCCAATTAATCTGACTTGGCGAGTGTTAATTGTATCGATCAATTGAACCGTTTTATATAATCGGAAAATTTACAGATATAAATTGTCCAACTGTAGTAACAATGACATGGCTAAATCTTTTGAGGGGTACAGCTCTCTTGAAAAGGTTCTGATAAAATACAGGGTGTCCCAGAAGTCTGGAATAAGAAAGCAAACTTTATATTGTTAAGGTTAAACACATTTCTAATGTCTGTATTTTTGTGAAATAACTGACATGCCTTTCTTTAGCTTTTTCTGGTAACATGTAACAACAAGAAGTACACATTTACCTGCCTGGTATACAGGTGCTCCTCTACTTAAGAACGTTCAACTTACAAACTTTCAGAGATACATACATCATCACTGAGGGGGTTTACCTGCCAGAACAGGTGTTTAATGTGGATGAGACTGGATTATTTTGAAGAAAATTCCAGTTAGAACAAACATTACCTAAGAGGAGAAGAGTGAGCCAGGTTTTAAAGCTGTATTAAAGGGTATAACTGTACTAAATATCCATAATGTTTTCATTTTTTACAATATGTTTGGGACTACAAGAGTAAAGTTACAAACAATTGGAATTACAAACAAGCCTCGGGAATGTAACTCATTCTTAAGTAGAGGAGCACCTGTACTGAACTATGAGAGTATTCTATTTATTGAAATATATATAACCAACAAAGAAATATGTTTGTTTAAGTAAGAATACAGTCTACTTTTCACATGAGTCCAGACTTATGAAACAGTCTGTTCATTGATTAACAATACAAAATTGTACTATACAGGTATTGACTTTTTTTACTTTTACTTTTATCCTCTTCGCCACTGATCGGCTTGTTAGCTTGCATCCATGACATACTGATCTCTTTCTTGAAATTTTGACAAGTGTTTTAGATTTGCAACATTCATTTAGTAATATGTTATGTGTATAGGGGTCAAGTCAGAGCAGTGGCAGTGGATATGCAGTGTTGGGTACAACAGCAGCAGCAGGCGGTGGTGGTCGGGGAGTGTCTCAGGGACCCATCACTCCCAGACAAGACCTACAGGACCTCAGTTTGGCAAGGGACATCAGGTCATTAACATTCAACCTACTTGTGCTGTAGATAGACACCTTGACAGATAGAAAGACAGGTGGTGCTGTGTACTATTGCATAGCTGTGAATGAATGTAGGAAAACTAGCCGCTTCCATTTAATACCCCTTAATATTAAACAAAAGAATGAAGGTCCAAGGTGAACATCAGCATTAAAAGTAAGAGGGAAGAAGTGTGTAGTATTTTAATATACTATATACAGGTGTGAATGTGCTGATGACAGTAGAAGTAGAAGAGCATATAAAATTAGTAACAATTTTAATTTCCAAATACCTTTACAGTAATGAGTTAAAAAAAAAAAGAGGATTGTGTTCTGTCAGCGTTGGGGGATGTTCTTAAAAAAATCCATGGTCAAAAACTGGTATATCAGGTGTAAAATTAACGCTGTCACTCCAAGTGTACTGTTGTGGCTGGTGAGCATATGATCCCCTACATCCACAACCATCACAGCACCCACGACCATGATCTCGCTGAGGGAGGGGGTGGCTGGCTGGGTGGGAGGGGAAGTGAGCGCCATTGTCTGTATCACTCTCTACTGTACTGCGCACATCGTTGTCATCCTTAATATCTCTTTAATTCATATTAAGCTACATAACATTCAAATCCACCACGCTTGTAGAGTCACAAAACTGTAGAAAACGGGAAACTTTGGTAAGGGATAACTCGCCTATTGCTTTTGTGTATATGTGCGCATGCATGAGCGCCACAGCTGCACAGCAACAACAAGCGACCACGCGGTCGCCACTTTAAAACGAGCAATCAAACTGTGACAACGTTTGTAATTTTGAGTCCTACTGTTTCCATTTACAGAGTACAGGTAGTTCTGCTATAACGCAATAATTGTGTTCTTGTAAAATATCGTGTTATAGAAAATCGCGTAATGGAAATAACAGGGCTTATGGAGAAAATAGGGTTAGGTGCAGATTACTCGAAATCGAAAAAATTTAGTAGTTAGCCTAACACAAAGGATAGCACAGTCTAAATAAATGTTACATTCATATCTAATAATGAAATCATACAGTAAATGTAACACTTTACCTTGAAAAAATAACTTGATGAGGGAGAAAGGTGATTTTGAGGTTAATAACATCGAGCTTCTCTTCAAGTGTTATATCCTTTCTTTTACGATCACCGGGAATTCTATCACCAGAACGCTTCTTGTTGATATTCTTCTTTACTATATTCACAGTTAATACAGTGGGGTATGCTATAACGAACGAATCCTACTACGAATATTTCTATAACGAACGGTTTTACCTATAAAATTGAGAATGCTATAACGAACGAAACTCCTACAACGAACATTATTTAAAAATTTTTTTTTTCTAATTTATTGTTTTTTTATTACAAATATTAATGATATTCTTTATTTCAGGGGTTTAGATGCATATTTATGCACTTTTTTACAATTTTTACAATTTTATATATTTTTCAGTGTTAAGTGGTTGTATTTGGGGGCCTGGAACGGATTAATCCTATAACGAACGAATGCTATAACGAACAAGGTTCTAGAACCAATTAGATTCGTTATAGCATACCACAAAATTGGAGAAATAGTAAGCAAAAATCACGATATAGCAAACAAGCGTTCGCGTTATACAAATATCGTTCCTAATTCATAAATCGCGTTAGAGCAAATTCGCGTTATCAAAACACGCGTTATAGCAGAACTCACTGTACTGTACAAGCCCATAATAATGGCTCCTAAAGTAGATACGTAAACTTCGTTGTGTGAAGAGAAAGAACACGTTGAAATTGAGTGACCAACTTGAAATAATTAAGAAACTAGAACATGGTGTGAGCAATTCTGTTCTAATGGAAATATACGACATTGGAAAGTCTACAATTTATGATATAAAAAGGGCAAAGAATAAAATTCTAGAATTCACAGCTTTTTCTTTAAAACTGCTCGTTTTGATAAATGAAGCATGCTATATTTGCTAATGAATTAACTATCAAAATGTACCTGTTCATCTCTTCTTTATTCCTCCTTAAATTTGAATTTTAAAAATACTGCCTGAGAATCCGGAAAATCCAAAAATCCGGACCTACCCAATCCCCAAATAGTCCGGATTTTTGGACTTCTACTGTGTGTGTGTGTGTGTGTGTATATATATATATATATATATATATATATATATATATATATATATATATATATATATATATATATATATATATATATATATATATATATATATATATATATATATATATATATATATATATATATATATATATATATATATATATATATATATATATATATATATATATATATATATATATATATATATATATATATATATATATATATATATATATATATATATATATATATATATATATATATATATATATATACACAGTTATACCCCACTTAACGTCAATTGAACCCAGAGGGTCCTGCTAAGTGAACAACAGAACATATGGGATTAATTCCAATAGAAATCGGCCTGACCCCCAAACTCCACTTTTTGAAGGCACATACCTATGTTGTAGTAAAAATAACATCTTAATTTTATGATGGTACATGCACACAATTAATACTTAAGAGAAATACAGTCGCCAAGTTAATGTCCATTCAAATAATGGACTCAACTCCCTCCCCCTCTTCTCACACTACACTCGCTGGCTCTTCCCTCTCAGAGAAATTTTTGGGGGAAAACCAGGTATAGTAATAAATAATACCTCAAACTAAAGTTAGGATAATATAATTGACATTGCTGGATTCCTTGTAAGACCAGGAATATTTTGAATATAAATGTCATATATTTTGCACAAAAGATAACATAGTTACCTAGAGAAAAATTTTTATCTAAAATTTGTATGTTTAATGAAAAATATATGATGTTTATATTCAAAATGATCACCAAATTATAAGAATTCCAGCAATGTAAATTATATTCTGACCGGGTAATTTGTATGAATTTTATGAGCTAAAACAAATATCTTCAGTTAATAAAAAAAAAAATAATCTTCACAACACTATCTGTCAATCAAAGTACCCCACCTTGCCTCCCCCCCTCTTCCAACCACGCGGTCAGTCCCAACCCTCCCCCCACCCCCCACCAATCCTCCCTTCCAGGGTTTTTAACATTTAGTATTAAATAATACCTCAGATTAAAGTTAGGATAATATAATTGACATTGCTGGATTCCTTGTAAGACCAGGAATATTTTGAATATAAATGTCATATATTTTGCACAAAAGATAACATAGTTAATTTGAGAAAAATTTTTATCTAAAATTTGTATGTCTAATGCAAAAATATGATGTTTATATTCAAAATGATCATCAAATTATAAGAATTCCAGCAATGTAAATTATATTCAGACCGGATAATTTGTATGAATTTTATGAGCAAAACAAATATCTTCAGTTAATAAAAAAAAAAAATAATTCTTCACAGGGTAACAGATGGTCGGTCGGTCCCTCCCTCCCCCCCACCCCCCACCAACCGTCCCAAGGAGATGTGTGGGATAACCACTAAATTTTAATAAATAATACCTCAAACTAAAGTTAGGATAATATAATTGACATTGCTGGATTCCTTGTAAGACCAGGAATATTTTGAATATAAATGTCATATATTTTGCACAAAAGATAACATAGTTAATTTGAGAAAAATTTTTATCTAAAATTTGTATGTCTAATGCAAAAATATGATGTTTATATTCAAAATGATCACCAAATTATAAGAATTCCAGCAATGTAAATTATATTCTGGCCGGGTAATTTGTATGAATTTTATGAGCTAAATCAGGCAGGGTGGCGGGTGGGGCAAATCTAAAAATAGCGTCTCGAGCCGGACACTCACCGCGTATATGTGGAAAAAATCCGTGTTAAGTGAAAGTCCAGCTCTGGCGAGGCACCGCGTATATGATAAAACGCGTTAAGTGAAACCGCGTTAGGCGGGGTAATACTGTATATATATATATTGTATATATATATATATATATATATATATATATATATATATATATATATATATATATATATATATATATATATATATATATATATACATATATATATATATATATATATATATATATATATATATATATATATATATATATATATATATGTATATATATATATATATACAATCAACACCTCAACCCGCCCACAAGCCTATGACTGTGACCGGGGAACGCTAACCACTGGACCACCAGGATACTAAAAGCAGTCCTAGACTTTGTTATATTTCACACAAAGCCTGTTCAACGAGCTTATGGCGCCGTGAACCTCTAATGGGGACCACCCGTATCACTTAGGTGGTCAGAGTAACGTTTTACCAGATCCAAGCCAAACACGATCTATATTTTATTAGTTTGTCTGCTGATTTTACGGCAATAAGCTCTGGCGACTGTGACCGGGAACGCTAACCAGTCATAGGCTTGTGTGCCGTGGGTTCAATCCTGGTGGGTTGAGGTGTTGATTGTATGTAGAAGTCCGCTTTTATTGGCTAATGAAATATATATATATATATATATATATATATATATATATATATATATATATATATATATATATATATATATATATATATATATATATATATATATATATATATATATATATATATATATATATATATATATATATATATATATATATATATATATATATATATATATATATATATATATATATATATATATATATATATATATATATATATATATATATATATATATATATATATATATATATATATATATATATATATATATATATATATATATATATATATATATAATTTAGTTAGTGATTTAAGGGCGATATAGAGGATTTTTAGGAGTGTGTCTCATTTGACTCGTTTTTTTGGCTTTATGTGAAGCCCCAGGAACTTAACCCTCGCGTAAGTTGCGAGTCTACTGTATAGCGAACATCCTTTGACCCTGTCTTGCGATATATCCCGACCCTACTGTATCAATGCCACTCAAATCAAACAACTCTTGAGGAATAGTGCTACTATCGAGGATGTGGAGGAGTGAGACGTTGAAGGACGTTCATCCATCAAGGGAGATGAAGATTACTCCTGAGTTGAGTTGCCAAGTAAATAAATATCCTATACAGTGATATCCCCATTAGCAAGGACAATTGGTGCAAAGCACTTCCGGGAATGAGAGATTTCCAAGTAACGAGACGACTCTCTCAAAGGCAGAAAAAACCCCTCATCCCCGGAATTTTCCGGGTAACATAAAAATGTTCTCGGAATTTCCAGAAAATGCGCCTGATTTTCATCTCTAAAAAACGGAAAAAAACTCCCCATCCCCGGAGTTTTCCGGGTATCGGGAAAAATTTCTCTGAATTTTCCGGAAATTGTGCCCCTTGGAAAATCGTTTCCAAAGCCTGACTTTTTTGGAAAATTCTGGCTTTGGGAACGATTTTCCGAGAAAAGTTCAATTACGGCTATCGGAGAGTTCCGGGTTTGAGGGATTCCGGCTAATGGGGATATTACTGTACTGTACTTTACGAAGTACTTCATCCTGCCTGGACATTCAAACCTTGCTGCAAAAATTAAGAACATAGAAGAACGTCACCCGGGCTTTAAGTGATAATTAGAACTGATTTTATTGACTCCGGTATCAACTTTCTTAAGTTTTTCATAAAACAATTGAATCCCCATCATTATATTGTGTTGAAATATTTTGTTTACGGATCTTTTATTGAAAATGTCTTGTATAGAATTTATTCAGGATCATTATGGTACCAAATTCATCTTTTTTAACACAATTAGAACAGATGCTCTGAATTAAAATTTATACACTTTTGCTGGCTGTAAATAATTTCACTCGTGTCCGCAGTTTAAATAGTATACAGTAATGGGAGAGTGTTTGTCTATGCCATGATAAGATGTGTAGTTTAGAGTCATGATAAGATGTGTAGTTTAGAGTCATGATAAGATGTGTAGTTTAGAGTCATGATAAGATGTGTAGTTTAGAGTCATGATAAGATGTGTAGTTTAGAGTCATGATAAGATGTGTAGTTTAGAGTCATGATAAGATGTGTAGTTTAGAGTCATGATAAGATGTGTAGTTTAGAGTCAAGATTAGTTGCATAGTTTAGACTCTCGTAAAACTTTCCCCAGCACCCAGAAACATTCTAGGGATGTGGGATTTTTCAGGGTTTGAGAGATTCATCTCATTACCTGGAAGAGAGTTGCACCAATTGTTCCGGCTAACGGGGATATTATTGCACAATACTTGTATATTGTCACTAACTTGAAGTAATTCTAAACTACTACAATGCAGTACAGGTACTTATTTGTTGGAGTACCCTGTACGTACTTGAAAACTGCCAACAACTGGTAATAGAGTACTGTACTGTACTGCACTGTACTTACAAATTGCCATAAACTTTTGAGAATAGTGTAAACAACACAAATTTGTTGTGATAGTGTACACATTAATTGTTTCTAACTTGCAAATAATTTGCAAAATACTGTATCACTAACTTGTATAAATGTCACAGACCTTATAACTGTGTCTAACTTGCTGTAGTAATTGTAGGCTGCCACTTACTGTTTGGAGTACTTTAAGCTGTTTGTAACGTGTATAAGAACTTATAAGTTATTACCAACTTATTGTAGTACAATTGTTAACTAAGTTATGTTGACAGGTTTGGCCTGCACACTATACTGTCTGTGATGCGTGACTTGCCAGAGCAACTGAAGGAGGTGTCGAGCGAGGTGGTCCGGGCATCCCAGGAACCTGATGTAACCCGAAAGCTCATCAAGGATACCTTCGACAGTCTCCAGTTCTTGGTGTCTGGCCTTGAGAAAAAACTCTCCCAGCTCATACACATTAAGGAAAATGAAGAAGCTCTGAAGCAGTCCTTAGCACAGGTAGGTGTGGGTGTGGAAGAGATAGGTGACTGTGTTTGTGGGGAGAATTAAGTGGATCACTGCAAGTTGACAGTGCAGTGCATTTGGAAAATAAAAGTAGTATAGTTTGTATGAGTAAATATTTATTTAACATGATAATTTATATGCTAAGTCGAAAAGGGATATAATAGGTAGCTGTATTTGAACAATTAGTGTTGGTTGTACTTCATTCAGAGGGAGGATCGAATAACCCAACTGGTGAATAAGGTTGAGGAGCTGAGCAGCGGTGACAGGCAGGAACAGCATGACAAACTGGATGCTCATTTCAGCAGTACTAGGAAGGACATCCGCCGTGAGATGAAAAAGATACGAGATGTAGTGGGTACAATTAATAGGTAAATGTGATGAAGACATATATCTTGTAGATTGTTCTTTGTGTTTTTTGTAGTACATTTGAAAGAGAGGAAGTATAAAAAGAAAGTACTGTACTGGTTTTGGATGTGAAGGAAAATTCTGGGTTGTATGAGAGTTGAGTCCAACATGTTTATAACTTGTGAGTGGTGACATAACACAGATTTTGTGATGGAAGGGACACTGAAATTGCAAGAGCATGATTTTTCTTTCATGCCATTCGACATCTTGGTAAAATGGAATAATAAGGCAAATAACAATAACTTTTAAGATAATTTTATAAATGATAACCTGTAATTTAAGTAAAGAAATGATTTTAAGTTATTTTTACTTTGATTCATATTTTCAAGATGGAAGAAAAGGTTGTCAGATCCCAATGCTTCCTTTCTGGTGTGATGTTGCTTATTAGGTAAAGGTATAGGCAAGGCTGCAGGATTTATGTTATAAGGGGACAGTTGTTTTTTGTTTAATGGAAGGAATGCTAGCTGGCACTTTCTATGCTATAAAACATCTCTATCTTTGTACATTTTATCAATCTATCAAACTTCCTCCATTCTCAACTAAAAGGAATGGAATTACAGTACTAGTAATTTTATATAGAATTAGAGGAGGGAACACTCAGTATGTGAACAGGCCTAACGCACAATATGTGAACAGGCTTTTGTGTGTCATTATTTAATCAGCCACTTGCCACTCATCATATTTAGTGTAACAGTATGGATAATGTTGTGTTGTGCAGTGTGGAGCCAGCGGTAACAAGCTTGCAGTCACACATCACAAAGGTGGAAGAGACACTGACAGCCAAGATGAAAGAACTCCAGACCTCTCTCACCCACCACACATCCCCCTTACACCCTCGTCTGGATGACTTCTTGACCTCCACCCAGCAAACCTCTGACCAGGTACTGCTTGTAAAGACCTGTATGAACATAGGGGGGTCATTCATTTGCTTGTTATCTCCTTAAGTTTTGTGTTTTGGTGATATCAGTTGAGTTATTATAAAAGGTTTTAAGCTTGGAGATAATTTCATACTGGCAAGATACTAATTCTTGTACTGTACAGTGTTATGTACAGTCGCTCAAAAAAGTACAGTAATGTGTCCTCCAATATTGCAGTGTAAGGTGAATCATCGTATTGTGAATCATTTGTTATTAAAATAAAGCAATAATAATGAGATGCGTTCCCAAGTCTGACCTTTTCATATCTTTTGTGTGGCTTTTTACCCTCTTTCCCCCCAAAACAATACAATTAATGAAAATTGCAAACTATATTCTTTAAATTATGTTTCTGAATGCACCTTATTTAAATTTTAATGCTTTGTTCTGTTAATGGATCCACTTCAGAAAATATGTTCATTGCTTGCTCCATATAATATCCACAGACCTCTCATCTTTTTCATTTCATTTTTAACACATCTAGTTTCTCAGCTAAGCTTATACACTTTCTATTAGCTTTTGAAACAACACTACCAACACTTGCTCTCTTGCTCATTTTGAATAGGGATGCAAAAATGCTGTAAGAAACCTGAGAAAGTTTTTCTCCTGTTCCTGTTCAGATGCATGAAAACAAAAGGTCCGCCAGCTGTGACTGTTGTTACCGCTCATTAGCAAGGCAGCTTCTTTGTGCAAGGCGCCCTTCATTTTTTTCAGTATTTTTTTTTTTTTATAATACATATTGGGATTTAGTTATTATTTATGAGAAAATGTAATTTTATTTTTATTATATTTTGGTCGTAAATACTATTGAAATAAGGACGTAAATTGAATTGGGTCCTAAATTAACTAGGGTCTTAAATATGAAAAGTTGTTGGTCGAACCATTGCTATCGGAGGCTTTACTTTTTTTTTTTTTTTATTTTTTAGTTTATTGGGCACCCCCCTACATCCTGTACAAGGTGAAGCACAGAAGCGCTTACAGCGCCCATCTGGGAAGCATGCTAAGTTCATGCTTGCCTTTATGTCTCATGAGTTAAGGGTGTAGAAGCCTGAAGGGTCATAGGTTTTTGTCAGCAAGTTATTGGAAGCTCCAACAACTTTCCCTGAATACGAATTTGCAACTTTTTGATTTACAACAGGTATCTACTTTACTGCTAGGTGAACAGGGACCAAGGGGGGCTAGGAAGTGTGTCCAAACAACTTTTCACCAGCCCGGGAATCGAACCCGTGACATCTCGCTTGCGAGGCAAGAGCAGTACCGCTCTACCACCGGCGCCCCCAAGGAGGCTTTACTGTATCTAAAAAATATTGTTCATGACAATATGACACATTGGACGTATGTTTTTGTGGGAAATTGCAGAGGACCAGGCAACAGTACCCAGACAACAGGGGTTGTATTGTTTGTTTTGACATCCCTCAGACCCCACTTTTCAGATATTTTTTTGAGTGACTGTACATAGGGGTAAGTCTTTTTAATTTGGTTTCATCCTTACTTGCAGAGAGCAAAGTTTTTTTTCTATGTATGAATGTCTCTGTCTGTGACCAAATTAGATCAAAATTAATTTACTAACTCCAGTAAACTTCCTCGAATACAGACTAATTAGGGGGGGGGGGGGTTGGTTTGGCCGAAATTCTGGGTTGGGTGGTGAGCTGCATTGCATTGATTGATTGATTGATAACACTTTGACTGAGTAGTTAGCTCTGGTTCATGCTGATGAGAGGCTCCACTGTATGAAGTTCGCTGTTCACTTGAAAAGGTTAGAATTGGAGTGACCAAAAATGTGCCTTCAGAATATAGTCCGAATAACGTTGCTCTTTTTTGGAACATCTACCACGTAAACCAGCGGCTTGCTGTGTTTCAAATGATGAACAACGAGAACTCCCTGTTTATGCAATTTTCGTGAAGGTCGTTGCTGGTTGATGTCAGAGAACTACATCTTTGATTTTATATGTGAGAAGTTAGTCAAATGTTAAGGTTAACTGTGTATATGTATAAAAAAAAGTTCTGAACAATAAAAGACAATTCAACTGATTTATATGCAGTACCTGTGAAGAAGATATCTGAAAATAAATATTTCCTGTACTGTACGGGTACTTATAAATTTTAATGAAATTTGGCAGTGCCTGTCCTTGGTCGTCAACGTGCAAGCTGTGTTCATGAAATTGCTTTTACATACAGTCCATACTGATACTTCACTATAACGAGGTTCACATTAACAATAACGACTACAGTAAAACCTCGATTAACCGACTTTCTGATTACCGTCAATCCCGAACCCCTATTTTTTGTTTTGTTTTTTTCGGGGATTAGCCCACCTGGGCACAGGTCACTGACCCACATCAGGGCCTGTGGGGCGATAATGTAATAATATTAATAATGATAATAATAATAATAATAATAATAATAATAATAATAATAATAATAATAATAATAATAATAATAATAATAATAATAAAGAACAATAAAGAAATGCAAAAATGAAAAAAAAATCGAGAGTGAGAAAAAATGTACCTGTATGTATGTTGTGTTGTCAATATAAGAGAAACAATTGAGATCAGCAACCTGGGACTTGGTCACAATTTTTTTGATGCCATATGTTCTTTGAATTTTTCATTTATTATTCACGGTTTCTGTGCTGGTTCATATTTATTTACTAAAGTGGTTAATGTTTTAAAGCAAATTCTATTGAAATATGAATGGCAAATGAATAGAGGGACTTAAATGAGGTAGGTTAGGGAAAGGTACTTTGAAAATGTATGTTTGTTTCTGTAGACTTTATGTACAGTAATACCCTGATTTACACGGTCAATTGAACCTGCGGAGTAGAGCGTAAAACGAGAAACGCGTAAATGGAATAACAGAACATATGGTGAATAATTGAAATAGAGACTGGGCCGACTCCCAAACTCCACTTTTTCCGACACAATACCTACGTTGTAGTAAAAATAACAAAATAATTTTATGATGGTATGCACACACAATTAATATTTAAGAGAAATACAGTCGCCAGGTTAATGTCCATTCAAATAATGGACTCAACTCCCCCATGCTCGCTGGCTTCTCCCTCTCTGAGAAATGTTTGGGTGAAAACACTAGATTTTAAGGTATATAGTAACAAATAATACCTCAGACTAAAATTAGGATAATATAATTGACATTGCTGGATTCCCCGCAAGACCAGGAATATTTTGAATATAAACGTCATATATTTTGCACAAAAGATAAAATGTTGGCTCTTTGTAATCAAAATTCTTACATTAGATCTAAAATTTGTATGTCTAATGCAAATTCCATGATGTTTATATTCAAAATAATCACAATCTTATAAGAATTCCAGTAATGTAAATTATATTCTGGCCAGGTAATTTGTATGAATTTTATGAGCTATAACAAATATCTTCAGTAAATAAACAAAATATACTTGACCCAGACACTATCTGTCAATCAAAATACCCCACCTCTGGCTCCCCCCCTCTTCCCACACTCGCTGGGTCCCTCCCTCCCTCCCTCCCTACCAGAGAAATGTTTGGGTTAAAATAGTATATTTACACTTTTAGTAATAAATAATACCTCAGACTAAAATTAGGATAATATAATTGACATTGCTGGATTCCCCGCAAGACCAGGAATATTTTGAATATAAACGTCATATATTTTGCACAAAAGATAAAATGTTGGCTCTTTGTAATCAAAATTCTTACATTAGATCTAAAATTTGTATGTCTAATGCAAATTCCATGATGTTTATATCCAAAATAATCACAATCCTACAAGAATTCCAGCAATGCAAATTATATTCTGGCTGGGTAATTTGTATGAATTTTATGAGGTAAAACAAATATCTTCAATAACTAAAAAAAAAAATTATACTTCACCCTCGCAAATGAGTAAATTCACCTCTTAAATCGGGCATCCCGGTTCTGGCAAGGTACAGGTTGACAAACCTTTATCCGAAATTCCAAAAACCGAAAAGCTCTGAAAACCGAAAGTGTTTTTTGTGGAGCAATTTTTTTTTTTTTTTTTTTGTAATAGCCCACCTGGGCACAGGCCACTGACCCACATTGGGGCCTGAGGGTGAAAATGTAATAGTAATAATAATTATAATAATTATAATAATAATGATAATACAGTACTAATAATAATTATTCATAGTAAATAAAATTTTTAATAAAAAATACACAAAAATAAAATAACAATAACAATAATAATAATAATAATAATAATAATAAAGAAATACAAGAATGAAAAAAAGATCAAAAGTGAGAAACACAACCAAGACCGATGAATTATTAATATTATTATTATTATTATTATTATTATTATTATTATAATCATTATAATTATTAGTAATATGATTATATTTTAGCCCCCAGGCCCCAATGTGGGTCAGTGACCTGTGCCCTGGTGGGCTGATCCCTGAAAAAAAAAAAAAAAAATCTGAAAACCGAAAAATTCCAAAAACCGAAATGCATCTGGTCCCAAGGATTTCGGATAAGGGATTGTCAACCTGTACCACGTAAATGACCAAACGCGTAAACGAGAACCACGTAAACCAAGGTATTACTGTACTATATGACCGCAAGCAGTGTGTGGTGATTAATGGCACGAAATCATCACCTGTACCTGTCACAAGCGGGGTACCACTGGGCAGTGTATTGGGACAGCTGTTGTTTTTTTGTTTCATAAATGACATGCCTGATGTTGTACACTCCCCCATACAAATGTTTGCGGATGATGCCAAGTTATTTCAGGAAATTAAGAACCAAGCAGACTGTGAAGAGCTGCAGAAGGACCTCTGTGGGCTCCAAGAATGGTTGAAAAAATGGCTGTTGAGATTCAATGTCACGAAGTGTAAGAGGATGCACCTGGGGTGTACTAATGGTAAGGAGGCGTATCATATGTCCCAACGGGATGAAGAAACTGCACTATTTGAAACAATGTGAGAAGGACCTAGGTGTGTATGCTGGCAATAAGCAGAAGTTTCGGGCCATTGCAAGAAGAAGGTAAATCAGGCAAATAAATTATTAGGTCTTATAGGAAGGTCGTTCAGATATCTAGATGGTCCGTCCCTCGTAACGATCTTCAAGAGTGAAGTGCTTCCCCATCTTGAGTATTGTCACCCCATATGGTTCCCGAGATATGCTAGGGACTGTCAGTTGGTTGAAAATGTTCAAAGGAGGGCCACCAGACTGGTGCTTGCACTTCGGCACCTCAACTACCCTGAGGGATTAGAGCGCCTGAACTTGCCTAGCTTGTATACTATCGACGGGCAAGGGGCGACCTAATTGAGGTGTATAAGCATCTTGAGGGGCACTACTCAGTCAGTCAAGTGTCCTTACTTGGAGCTGGCAGACGCTCGCCCCACAAGGGGTCACAGCTCAAGACTGAAGAAGCCGCAAGTCCAGAAAACTGTGAGGGCAAACTTTTTCGGAGTGAGAGTTGTGAACTCTTGGCACAGTCTACTAGAGAGTGTTGTGACGGCACCAAGTGTGAGCTCTTTCAAGATCAGACTTGACCAACACTGGAGCAGGTTCAGGTACATTCAGGAGTCGGTGCATGCCCAGTACTTGCCAACAGTGCATAACAGAGACGTGACTGATCGCCCAAGCGGCTAACGAGCCGATCAGTGGTGAAGAGGATAAAAGTGAAAGTAAAAATACATTAACAAACCATTTTAACACAAAAACGATCAGTAGCATAAGTTGATAGTCACTCAGGGCGGTCATCTTCATGAAGTCAGCGAGCGGGGAGGTTTGTTTTGATCAGAGTGTGTGAACAGGTGTGGTGTAACCTACTCACTTATCTGTGACAATGTTACGTAACCTCTTTACCTGTGTGTGAGCTGTTAGTTGTTAAAGTGAAGTATGGACTGTATTCATTACTTTTTTATTTCTTTTATTGTGGAGACTGGGAGTTACTTGTAATAATAATAATACTGGTAATGAAGCATCATCTGAGTGAATATAAACACAACCTCTGAACAATTGACATGTCTTTCCTGAATCTGAATACATCTCAAGGAAGTATAAAGACAGTTTCATTTCCAAAGTACTGTATATGTATACTATATATGGAAAAATTCTTAAATTTGGAAGATTTTGGATCATGGAGAAGTGAGGATTATGTTGCCTGAAAGTTTAGCATTGGAATTATGCAAGGAGGAAACTCACTTGTAGGGCACACCGGCTTAATATGTCAACATTGCACACCACTTACATTCCTTACCTCACAGACACATCAAATTAATTCCCACAGCTGACGTAAATTCTACTAAATTTTTTTCATCATTTAAGTCACTTCTCGAGCCAGACTAATACCTGTAGTACAAATTTAAAGCATTATCAATTTCACTCCCTGAGCTGTCTCTTACCCTCAGGTACAGCTGTCCATCCACAACATGGTGGAGAAGATGACTACACTACCCAAAGATGTTGGTACCCAGGTGTGTCAGGTGTGTACCTCACTCCCTTGTGAGAGGGTAGGTGGTGATGACATTCATGGTGAGAGGGTAGGTGGTGATGACTATCATGGTGAGAGGGTCGGTGGTGATGACTATCATTGTGAGAGGGTCGGTGGTGATGACTATCAGTGTGAGAGGGTAGGTGGTGATGACTATCATTGTGAGAGGGTCGGTGGTGATGACTATCGTTGTGAGAGGGTAGGTGGTGATGACTATCATGGTGAGTGGGTAGGTGGTGATGACTATCATTGTGAGAGGGTCGGTGGTGATGACTATCGTTGTGAGAGGGTCGGTGGTGATGACTATCGTTGTGAGAGGGTAGGTGGTGATGACTATCATGGTGAGTGGGTAGGTGGTGATGACTATCATGGTGGTGGGTAGGTGGTGATGATGATCATTGTGAGAGGTGGTGATGACTATCATTGTGAGAGGGTAGGTGGTGATGACTATCATGGTGAGGTAGGTGGTGATGTATCATGGTGAGAGGGTAGGTGGTGATGACTATCATGGTGAGTGGGGTAGGTGGTGACGACTATCATTGTGAGAGGGTAGGTGGTGATGACTCATTGTGAGACGGTAGGTGGTGATGACTATCATGGTGAGTGGGTAGGTGGTGATGACTATCATTGTGAGATGGTAGGTGGTGATGACTATCATGGTGAGTGGGTAGGTGGTGATGACTATCATTGTGAGATGGTAGGTGGTGATGACTATCATGGTGAGATGGTAGGTGGTGATGACTATCATTGTGAGAGGGTAGGTGGTGATGACTCATTGTGAGAGGGTCGGTGGTGATGACTATCTCTGTGGGTATTATGAGGACAGATGGTTAATAAGGTAAAACCATTTGTTAAAGGTGATGAGTGAGTCATGTGTTACAGATGATGCGTGCGATGGTACACAGTGGTTCCTTAACAGCAGCAACTGGTGCTACCACGGCTAACAGTTTGTTCAGTCCCAGTTATGGAGCCTATTCTGCGCACCGACCCATCTTCCCCCTGGCTGAGGTATGTCTTGCAGTTTCCTCTTGAGTTGCTTGCACAGTGTTCCTTTATATTATTGATATAATGGATAGGAATTAAATTCTTTCTTACGTACTCATAGTTTTAGGGACAAAATAAAAAAAAAATTATGAGAGAAATTGTGATCAAAGACATTTGAGTAACAAATGGGGGTTTCAATTTGTCTAAATTACAGGTTATATTTATTAATTTATCTTTGATTAAAGAATCCACTTAACTACAGTATTTCCTTTCTCTCTTGACCAAATTTTGCCAGGGTTACCGATAGTGAAGTGAAATAATCGTACATTTTGTTTTTTGTTGTCGTTGCAGAGTAATTACCGTAACCAAGTGTCTCCAGTGGCACATGTGTCACCCATAGCCCAGGTGTCATCCCATGTCAGCATGGCCCCACCCGCCACCCATCCCACTAACACCCACAATTCTCACCGTAAGCTAGATAGGAATACTCGCCCCACCCCTCAACCTCGACTCTCTGCTCCAGCACGTCTAGACCAAAATAGAACACCAAGGCCCAAACCAAATACAACACTTCAACCCAACCCAAGTATGCCTTCACATCAATATGGTGGGGATACACTACAGATCATATCACATCCTCCACATTGTGACCAAATGGCAACACCTCAACCCAGACTAACCATAGGTGGGAGTGATGCCCTGAGACAAACAGCCCGGGAAACTGCAACAGCCAAGAAACACAAGGATATGATGATGCTTCAGTCCAGTGAGAACATTGAAGAGAATGTTATTTGTTCTGAAAAGGTTAGTCCTGTCTTATACAGGTTAGACCTCACTAATCAAGGAAGCTTTGGACCAGACCGGTTCAGGATTAATGAAAATTCTGAATCATCGAAGCCTAGGTTAAAAAAGGCAAAATAATGCATAATATGTACTATTACAGTACTGTCTTAATTTCTTCAGTATAGACATCTTTTCTAAAATAGTTTGTCACATGCTTACGTTTTGCCATGTTACAACCACTTCCACTGCTTGCTAGTCTCTTAGGGGGCATATTTAGGGGTAAATTATAAATAATTAAAGGTAAAATAGTGGCAACAGCCACTAGAAATAAGCTATGGCACTGTCCCAACCTATTGAAGCTGCCCGACTATTGGGTCCCGGATTATCGGGGTCCAACCTGTATTAATATTGCCTCCTACATTAAAGGATGAGGTGTTCATATTGGATTGATCTGTTCCATGAGCTTGTCCATCTACAGTACAGTAATCTAACCGTTAGATGGGCTCTTCAATCCCTGGAACTCTCCAGTAGCCGGTAGAAGTAACTCATGTGTCATACTGTACATAGTGCTACCTGCTGCAGTGACTGCCTCATTCATGTATAACATCCTACAGATTTCTTTTATTTATTTACTGCTTTGATGGATAGGAAGCTACTGGCTTTTTTTACAGCTTCACATGAGTACAATACAATACAATACAATACAATGTAATTTTCATGTGTTAACTTTTAAATTAATCATGTTTAAAATTTATGTATGTTGGTCATACAGGACCAAATTGACACTAAAAATTCTATGACAATTAATGCTAATTTTTAAAGGCCCAAGTCTATATTCGGGATGAAGATAGATCCCTTAGAAAAACCTCATATAACCACAAAATCACCCTTTGGTAAAATACCCCTCTGTGTCTAAGAGGATTTCTGTACCTTCAAGTAACCTTTTAGTATTGCAGATTGTTGAATGTGAGGAGGATCATGCTGGAGGAAAAGAAGAGGACCCAAAGGGTTTGTGTCATGCTCCCCCAAAATTAATACGGAATGGGACACAACACTTTACACCCCAAAAGGCCTACACGCTGATAAAACTTAATTCTAAATGCCAGGTACAGTATGTAGAGTTAGCATGTACAATACTGTACGGGGCTTGTATACTTGTGTCGGAGAGCTGAACGATTATTGAGATCAAAGTTTAAAAAAGGCAAGAACAAGTGGTGTTGGATAATGGTTCTCTGATATTTTGTGTTGAAAGAAATTATGAAAGGTCATAAAGGCAGAGAAGTTTTATTGTTAGTCTTTATCTCTCCACAGCTGCTGTATTCTGGCACACACCCTATCACTTCTCCTCACACACATCTGCAGACTCCTCTTAGTCACCCTTCTCATATACTGTATAGTTGGGTCTTCATTTCCCTTGTCAATTGAACCCACGTTGTACCGCGTAAAACGAGAAACGCGGAAATGAAATAACAGAACATATGGGATTAATTGAAATAGAGACCGGGCCGACCCCCCAAACTCCACTTTTTCCGACACAATACGACACAATACGTATGTTGTAGTAAAAATAGTATCTTAACTTTATGATAGTATGCACACACACACATAATATAGAAGAGAAATATCAGTAAGAGAATAATATACTGTACCAGACTTGACAACGAAGGTCTTGGAAGGTAGCTTTTTCCAAAACAGACCGGATTCATCCATGTTGAACATCTGGTCGTCGGTGTACTGTCCTTCCTCCATAACGTCATGTAAGAACGGAGGGAAATCACTCGCCGCAACACGGTCAGCACTCGCTCCTTTACCACCAATGTTAATGTTGGTGATCTTGTTCCTCTTCTTAAACCCTTGCAGCCACCCAGAGGAAGCAGTGAAGGGTTTGGGCTCTGCAATTCCTATCTTACGTGCCACTGCTACGTACAGTTCACGTGCGTACTCTTGAACCGACCGCGTGTCCACCGCTATGTTCCGTCATGCCTGACGAATCAAGTAGCTCATAAGTAAATTCTCCGTATTGAGAAGCACCTTGTTCTGGCAGTACTTCACCATTGAAGCACCTGCAGACTTTGCGATGTTCATGTGTTCTTTTATCTTGGCTGCATCCTTCTTGATCGTCCGGATCGTAGATTCGTTAACACCATGCTGGCGCGTCGAGATCAACCTGTCTCGTTCCTTTTTCTAACTCTTGTATTATCTTGTACTTCACCTCGTAACTTAGGGCACGTCGTATCTTCTTTGGCTTAGGGCAGCTGGGTCCAGGTAATGCAAGGTTTTTCTGTGGTGGTGGAGGTCCAGTGGAAGCCATTCTTACGAGATTAGCGAGATTATCCGAACAATAGGACACAGTATACACGGGGTGACTGGGAGGAACGTAACTGACGCGGCTAGGTCAAGCGGCTTCATCCCTCCCGCGGCAGGGCACATCATATTACATTAAACCAATCACAGCTAGCGGCAGAGGGAGGTAAGGATGCGTGGCCCAATCACAGTCTGATACATCATATGACGTCACCGATAACGCAACAGAGACATACACTGCGCAACCTACTCGTGCCACTTACCCAATATGGCAGGAGATGGCGGAAGGTCTAAATCCAAAATTGGCGCGGCGCGAAAGAACCGCGAGTCGCTCTCCGCTTAAATGACCAAATTTACCGCATAAATCAAGGATCTCACTTCTGGCAAAGTACAGTGAAAATGACAAAATGTGTAAACGAAAACCGCGTAAATCCAGACTCAACTGTACTTAATTCCTTCATTTTTACTGGACTGTACAGTAAAACTTCTATACACTAGAATTAGCTTTTTTAGAACTCTCTTGAGGTGCTTCGGACTGGTCCTTTATTCTAGGGAGCCACCGCAACTTGGTTCTAACCAGAACCTTGATTTTTATGAAATTCCAGTTTTGGCCAGAACATGAACTTTTTATAGTGGTACTAGTTTACTGTTTCATAAATTTAAATAAAATTCACTGTTAATGCTTCTGAATTCTAATGGATAACGTACAGTAAGATCTCATATTTCCTGCGATTTCTTTTCGCGTTTTTTAATTTTGTGAGCACTACCTAATGCAACCAAGTCTTATATTTGGCGTAAAATATCGCGAGTTTCGCGAGATCCAGCCAGCTGAATGCTGGCCACCGTCTTGAATGACGTCATAGCCCTCATACCAGTTACAGTCATTTCTGCTACAACTCGTGTTTTGTCAATGCGAATTGGTTGTAACGCGATTGATGAATAGGGGAACGCTGTTTGTAAAACGCGAACTTTTGCATACGAATGTTGGCTATAACACGATTCTATCCTCTGTTTTTATTCCATCCTCAACGTTTTAAGCATGGCATGGGGTTATGTAATGTTTACAGTTCACGTTCAACATCACATGTTCAATCGATTCGTGTCTTGTTTGTGAAGTGTTTTATGAGAGGTATGTAAATTCCGTTTTTTTTTTTTTTCCAAATTAGCTGTTAACCATAAATACTGTATGAAAAGAATAAGTAAAAAGAATGTTTCACAGTGAGGACTAATAACGGTTTACACCAGCGCTCTCTGTTTACATCACGTGATCAGTTAAATCTCGCGGTTTCTGTCGATTGCTCCGTGATTTTTGCTGTTCTCTCCAATTTTGTGTTAGCAATGAATGTGGAAAGACATGGTAAGAAGAATGACCCCAAGAAGCGTTCTGGTGATCGAATTGCCGGTGGTGAACGTAAAAGAGGTTTACAAGAACGCACCTATCGCGTTGTAGCCCGCGCCATCCTAGCGACCACCCGGGCTGTTATTGTGTGCTTTTTTGGGTGGTGCTACCACCTGTCGAGTCAAAATAATGGCCTCTACCTCTACTGGGGGTCCTACTGGTGCTGGTGGGGGTGGGACAGATCCACCTAAGCGGCCAAATAAGGAAAAGGTGAAGCGGGACTATCATAAGGGAGTTAAGTTTGCCAAGTACTCGATGCAGGATAAGCAGCGTGTGATTAAGTTACTTGAGGAAGGCCTAAAAACTAGTTTCCGGAAAGCACAATCAAGTCAATAGAGGCAGAATTTGTATCATTTGGAAGTTATAAATGGGAAAATCAGAGGTTGATGTAGAGTGGCCAGTCTATATTGTTATTTATCCCATTAGTTTATGTATTTGCATTTGGCTAATTTGAATTTGGCGCAATTTTTCCAGTCTATATTACTTGCAAAATACAAGATCTTACTCTAGCATAAAAAGTACTGAATGGTTAAAGAATATTGATGTATGTGTAGCAAAATATTTATTACATCTTAAATCATGTAAGTAATATCTCTGTTAGCCGAAATCCCTCATACCCGGAAATCTCCAATAGCCGGAATTGAAATTTGCTCGGAAAATCATTCCAAAGCCGGAATTTTCCCAAAAATCCGGCTTCAGTAACAAATTTTCCGAGATTGAAAATTGAGAGAATTTTCTTAAAATTTCTTGAATTAAGATGAAAGTTTTTTTTCTGGTGGGGGGGGGGGACTTGACTCAATGTCAGGTGGAGGTAGAGTGGGGGATTAGTGGTCTCATATTACATATACACACGGTGAACCCTCGCTTTATGCGGTCGATTGAACCCACGGAGGCCCGCGTAAAGCGAGAAACGCGTAAAGTGAACAACATAACATGGGATTAATTGAAATAGAGACCGGGCCGACCCCCCAAACTCCACTTTTTCAGACACAATACCTACATTGTAGTAAAGATAACTTATTAATTTTATGATGGTATGCACACACAATTAATAAATTAAGAGAAATATCAATAATATTAGGATTTTTAACACTTACCAGAAGTCTTCTGGTTGAAGCTAGTTTGATTAAGGAATTAAAATCAATAAACCTTAGTGATGGTCAGTTCAAAACTGATAATATGTTACATAAATTTATTTGTCAGTGGCCCACGGTTAAAAATGCTTTGAAAACCTTTGATCTAGATGTATGATAGTTATTTAGTGGGTTCCTTATTTTTGACCTGACCTGACTAGTCACGTCACCCCCCCCCCCTTCTCTTTAGCTCCTCTACGTGTGTGTTGGTGTGGGGATTAGTGGATGACTTCATTATGACCTGACCTCATGTTTTTAAGGTCACCCTGTATATTTAAGCCTCTCTCTGTCCATGTAATCCATGTAATCCAGGTTCAGTATTCTCAAAACTCTTTGATTTGTTATTTATAGACCCTGCATGTCACACACAGCCTCATCTAAGACTTAATATTGTTCTTTCCTCATCAAATTTGAAAAGAGGCACTGGAAGTGGAGAGGAATCTCTAGGAACTTTTTTACAGGTCAGTGTAGTTCATTTAGTTTGAGACCTGTAACAGAATTCTGATCCATGATTTGGGTTGCAGGAAACCTTGGTGCTGGACTGTGACAGTAGCACCAGCTCTGATGGTTCGCCAGTGTTAGTATCCAGGAAGACACCTAGACTCTCTGCTCTTACCACTGCATCTTCCACATGTAATATTAACCCTTTTACTACTATACTGATAAAACTTCCAAACTACATGGAAATTTTGAAGTCTTTTCTGATGTTGCAACAGTCATATGGGATGAGTTCATTGAATATAAATTGTAAATGATATTTGAGGATTAATTTCAAGTTAAAAAATTTCAATCCACCAACCCTTAAATTGGGGGAGGGTAGTAGTCATGGTGTGTGTGTGTGTGTGTGTGTGTGTGTGTGTGTGTGCGTGCGTGCGTGCGTGCGCGCGCGTTAAGTGAAAGTTTGGATTTTGTGTTGTTTGTTTATTAGTGTGAAAACTATTACCTCTCCATATTTGGAGCTGATAGAATATATACAGTACCACACAGGAGTAATGTTCTCCCAACACGGAGTAAGTGGGTGTAGACATTGTTCTTGTTTATGTTTTACCTTATTTATAATGGCCACCCACTAGAGGTGTGCAAATGAAATGTAATAGAATCTGCTTTAAAATATGTGGATTTATTGGTTATCTGCTTGACAGATGATTGGGTGGAAGGCAGCCAAGAGTGTGAAGAAGTACCTAAGATGAAACAAGAAAAGAACCGGTTACCTACTTCCTGCCACAACCACCAGCAAGCATCAGTCACTGTTGAGAAGGAAATAGTTGCCTCTAATGTAAGGAAGACAAACACCATTGAAACACCTTTGAGGGGTGAGGTAGTAAGGGGCAGTGGAGCTGTGGTACATTTAGTGAATGGGGATGACACTGGTGAGATTATGCATATGGAAAGCACATTTGCTACTTCTCACCGACCAGTAGTTAATGAGGAATTGCAGCCTCTCTCTTTTTTCACTCCTGTAAGACCAGTGTCTGTGAATAAACGGAAGTCCTTTGAATCTATTCCTCGATCACAGTCTGGTACTGGGCATGTAACGCCACTTATTCCTTCAGCATTAAGAAAAAGCCGTGCTCGTCGCTACCTCACACCTTATACTAATGCCAAACTCGAACTAATGATTCTGAGTAGCAACAAAAAAGTGTAAGAGAGACACCTTATATGAGTTTAAAATGGGTCTTGTGTGTTGTTGATGCAATCTGTACATACTTAAAATTGATTAGTGTTTGATTATAGGCTAAGGATGTGTGTTATTATTTGTCTGTTTGTATTGTACTAACCAAGGTTTGTACAGAATAGAAGATTTCACGATATATTTTTATTAAAAAATTTCTGTATGTTAAAATTTTTGGTGCATTTGATTTTTATTGGGATTCACCTTCTTGGGTGTTAAAAGAGGTGACTTACCAGGGATGAAGATATGTAGATGCATCTTCTCCAATAATTGGAAACAGAGTTTAACAAATTGCTCTATGTGTCATAACTTTAGAGTACAAATAATGTACTGGTTGTAACTGTGGTAATTAAAAATTATAATCATATAAGGGCATTATCTTCAGTCAATGGCTAGCTCAGGGGTGGAGGTAGATAACCATGACCCCTTTCACAATTTCAAATAAACACGGAAGATAAAAAAAATGTAATTTTCCATTTGTAAAACCAATATTTAAATGCCTTTAGTGAGCACATTTAGTGTAAGCCATGGCATGAGAAGACATACAGTACACTACAACATTTTAGTAATTCTCAAATTATGAATTACAACAGAATTTATTGAAATGAAAATAATTAGTTTGGTTCCAGAAGCCAACAAATACTCATAAACTGTTCCAAAACTGCTTTATTAAACACTAAACTCTGTACATAGTAATATCTTCATTAGCCGGAATCTCTCTAAATAACCAGAACTCTCTGATTGCCAGAATTAAAATTTACTGAGGGACACATTTTCTGGAAAATTGCTATAAGATTTTCCCAGTACTGTACCTGGAAAATTCCAGGGATGAGGGAGTTCTTTCTAGGTTTGAGAGATGAAAATCAGGCGCATTTTCTGGAAATTCCAAGAAAATTTTTCTGGTACCCGGAAAATTCCGGGGATGGTGGATATTTTTCCGTGTTTGAGAGATGATGTAATGCGCAATTTCTGGAACTTCCGAGGAGAACATTTTTGCTTGTATGTCTGCACCAATTATTCCGGCTAACGGAGAGATCACTTACATCAAATAATACAGTAACACATAAATATTGTAGAAAAGTAGTTCTCTAATCCATAACAGTTCCTATCCTTCTCATAATTTCTTGTTGGTTACACCAACATCAAAACAGGCAGATGCAAGCTGGCTGTGACTGTAGTATGTTAACAAAATACTGGTATTTTAATACCGGGTTGACAATCCCTTATCCGAAATCCTTGGGCCCAGATGTGTTAAGGATTTTGGAATTTTTCAGATTTCAGAATAGTTAGGTTAGTGTTTTTTTTTTTTTTTTTCAGGGATTAGCCCACCCGGCCACAGGTCATTGACCTACATTGGGGCCTGGGGGCGAAAATTTAATAATAATATATTGGTCCCTCGATTAATGAATGGTTCAATTACAGTAATTAAATTTTGGTTAACGAATTAATGCCCATAAGGATTTTCAGTTCCATTAATGAACAAAACTTTGATTAACGAAAGCCTTGGAGAAACACTCTTTGTTGTGCGCATCAGCTGATGGCTAGTCCGCGAATACAGTAATCGGTTCTGTGTTTACATTCGTTTCCAGTGGAGTAAATATCAAGTAAGTTGTGTTATTGAACCTTTTTGCATTTTTATATTAAAATTATTGGTCATTCTAAAATTTAACCATCCAAGCTCTGTCTACATAAAGTTTTTCAACTAATATTTTTGGCTCGATATATGTAACTTTATTCATTTAATTTTACTCATTTACATGCACACACTGTCCTAAGGGCAAAGCTGTAATGTACATGAACTCAAAATAATGTATTAAATGATTGCAAAGATTTTTATCTAGTGCAAACTATAGCATGTTAATATTCAAATTAATCACTATCTTATAAGAATCCCAGCAATGTAAATTATATTCTCCCCGGTCATTTCAGTGGCATATTATAAGAAAAAACCTTAGTCACTCTGAAGGACTAATAAATAAACACACATTAGACCTTTGGCACCAACTGTCAAACATATCACCTCACCCCTCCCTCCCTCTCCCTGATCTGCCCAGCCATGGTTTTAGGCTTAAAGTTTTTATCTTATATAATATCACAGACTAAAATTAGGAGAATATAATTTGCATCGCTGGAATCCTTGCAAGACAGCGAATAATTTTAATATAAACATCATATATTTTGCACAAGAGATAAAAATTAATCACCTTTATCACATTTATCAAGATTACAGTAGTGATTTAAGAGTTCTAGTGTGTGTGTATATATATATATATATATATATATATATATATATATATATATATATATATATATATATATATATATATATATATATATATATATATATATACATATATATATATATAAATAAGTAAAATCTCGTTTAACCGACCACATATGGGGGGAAGGGGCTGACGGATAATCGAAAAGGTCGGTTAAATAGTACATAAAGTCTACAGAAACAAAACATACATTTTCAAAGTGCCTTTCCCTAACCTACCTCATTTAAGTCCCTCTATTCAATTTTGTTCATTTGCCATTCATATTTCAATAGAATTTGCTTTAAAACATTAACCACTTTAGTAAATAAATATGAACCAGCACAGAAAACGTGAATAAAAAATGGAAAGGTCAAAGAACATGTCATCACAAAAATTGTGACTGAGTCCCAGGTTGCTGATCTGACTTTCTGCCTCATTTACACACAATTGCAGGGTCTCAATTGTTTCTTTTACTATTGACAACACAACATACATATAGGTACATTGTTTCTCACTCTTGATTTTTTTATTATTTTTATTTTGCATTTCTTTATGGTTCTTTATTATTAGTGTTATTATTAGCATTATCATTATTAATATTATTACATTATCGCCCCCCAGGCCCCGATGTGGGTCAGTGACCTGTGCCCGGGTGGGCTAATCCCCGTAATTTTTTATTTTTATTTTTTTTAATAGGGGTTCGGGATTGACGGTTAATCCGAAAGTCGGTTATTCGAGGGTTGGTTAATCGAGGTTTTACTGTATATGTGTGTGTGTATATATATATATATATATATATATATATATATATATATATATATATATATATATATATATATATATATATATATATATATATATATATATATATATATATATATATCTGCAATATCAGGTCAGAGACTTACCTGGCATTTGGTGAGAAAGGTAAATCAATTTGAAGAATCCAATGTCTCTCCTGGTTGAATTTTAAAATTTAGCAACAAACTCGACTGAGCTGCTCAACAATTACTCAATTATAACTGCTTGGGTATTGTAGAAGGATTGTCTACCATGAGGGGGAATGTTACCATATGTCTGCTGAAATAGAGTCACTAGGTCCTCACCTGGACAGGGGTTTCTTTGATGCCTAAAATAATACTGGAGAATTGTATGATGTTTGGTAGTTTGTGTGGTATGAATCTCTGACATTTGTTGTTGGGTAAACTCCTCTAGTGTGTGTGTGTGTGTGGAGAGGGGGGAAGAGGGGTGTCACATTAGTAATTGAAGCATTTATAGTACCTACACCTCCCAGTGTTTTCCTGGCTTCAGTCGTGAAGGCCATTAGATTTTTACAAATGAAGTAATGATCCTGAAATTCCATTTCGTAATCAAGCCCATAATTGAGTTGGATCACTCTCTCCTTCCAGTTGGTAGTGGGTAGTCAGCTGGAACTGAAGGATTATCACTAAGAATCCAATAATGCCAATAATAACAGGTGTGGTGTATCCAAGCTAGTGTAATGCCACAGCTTATTGCCTTTCTACTGTAAGTGGTGATTGTTGCATCTAATACTGTATCCACTTTTAAGGTTGATGCAACAGAGGTGACCTAATCATTAAATTAGTTTCTAGCCACCAATATAAAGATCTAACTTAGTGCCACGTCCTAAGATTTGGTGCATTCATTATACTAGTCCCTTAACCCTTAGACCCCGGGTAACGTTCCAGAACGTCCGACCAGCGCGCCCTGGGTGACGTTCCAGAAAGCGCGCCTTTTCCCGCCACTGCTTAAATGCCCAGCGCGGGTTATCAGGTTCCCTTGTGACTATTTGCCTGTCACGCCACACCTCGGAAGCTTCCTGAACATAATTACCTATTTTTGTTTGTTTCGTTTTCATTGTTTGTCTATTTTATCATGTATCAAAGTAATATTGCTAAAAGTAGTGCACTGTAGTTCTATTGTAGTATTACTGGAAAATAATGCTATGATTGTGTTATAAATGTATTTATTTGTGGAATTATTATTATTTTATGCATTACTTGCTTTAACAAAGACAGCCAGGCAGACTGGTGAGTGTTGCCAAGCACTTTTATGAAAAAATGCAAATAAAATATTCTAAATTAATTATTTATAGCAAATAATTATTAAGATCAGTAAATATATGCATTATTGCCCACCTCGGACACAAAGGCAAGCTAAAAATAGCTGCTAAATGGGGGGGGGGGGGACCTTGAGCGTCAGATGTCAAACCAACACTGTCTCCTTATCTCCCCCCCTCCTCTCTTCCTCCGCACAGCCAGGGAAGTTCTAGAGGGTCACTGTATAGTTTTTCTTACTTATTTTTTTATTGTTTTATGATTTTAAAAGGTTAAAAATTATTTTTGGAGAAGTTATTTTTTTCTTGATTTACCCAGGGGACTGCCACCAGCACCCTAATCTGGGGCTTAAGGGTTAAGTACACCTGACCCTTGCTTTATGCTCGGGTCACATTCTGCTAAAACCATGCATAACTTGAAATTGCATAAAGTGAATTCTAAATTCTTATGGTAAGAAAAAATACAGTTGGGTCTTCATTTACCCGGTCAATTGAACCCGCGGAGTACCGCGTAAAACGAGAAACGCACAAATGAAATAACAACATATGGGATTAATTGAAATAGAGGCCGGGCCGACCCCCCAAACTCCACTTTTTCCGACACAATACGTACCGTATAGTCAAAATAACATCTTAATTTTATGATGATATGCACACACAATTAATAATCAAGAGAAATATCAATAATATTAGGTTTTTTAACACTTACATTAGTAGAAAAGATGGCTGGGCACACGGGGATGGGGGGTTGGTTCCGAGGCAGAGGGCAGATTATTGGCCCTCACCTGTATCACTTGTATCAATTGTATCACTATCCACCACAGAGGCTTGCAGGGCCTCTTTGTCAAACCCCTCAAAGGCCATATAAGTCCATATCCTCACTATAATTATCACTGTCACTGACTTGGGCTGGCTGTGGCAGGTGAAGAACTCGGTAATGTTTTGATGACTGGGCGACCTTGTGCGCACCCTGCCTGCGCCGCTTCCCGCGTAAATGACCAAATTTGCCGCGTAAATCAAGCATTTCAATTCTGGCAAGGCACCGCGTAAATGACAAAACGCGTAAACCAAAACCGCGTAAATCCAGACTCAACTGTAGTGATATTCCACAACCATTTCTGGAGCTTCCCCCAACCTTAATTCTGGAAAATTTTCAAAACAAAGACACACTAAACTAAAACAGTAATACTGTACTATAGAAGTTGTGGACAAATTATTACAATACTGTGATGTGTCCTAGAAATAAAGAAAATATAATATAAAACTATAAATAAGAAAAATGGCATCATGCCATCTCACACACCACTAAATCCCCAGTTTTTCCCTTCCCATATCTTGTATAGAATGCATAATAGCAAATTTATCCACATTAAGTGATTTGTGGGAGAAGTAGGGTCCTAGCACAATTGCGAACTTGCATTAAGCATTGCTAGTGTGCATAAAGCAAGGGTCGTGTGTACAGGGTAGGTTATCAAATGAGATTAAGATCAATTACCCATTTCAGTTACATCACACTTATATTTTT